AAGCAGAAATCTGGCAAAGTTGGGATGGCATTGATGTTATTCGGGAGAGCACGAGATCCTGCAGCCGTTGTTGGGGAAACCATCTACATGCGCCTGTGCTGGAAAGTTGTAGGCTGGCCGGCTACTTGTTTCTGGTAGGCCATCGGATCCATTGGGATCTTGCGTGTGTGTGTGGGGGGGCCCTTGTTGAGTCTAAGTCTAAGAGGATCTTACCAATAATTCTCGTGAGCTTGAACAGTAGTCCACCAGATAAAGGGTTCTGAACAGGATAGTAGCACCCAATCACTCAATCACACTTAAGAATCACATCTGTTTGCCTCGCCGGTTAGTAGCAGCGTGCATCTTTCCAGTTCCGAACGCAGAAGAAAGAGTCAGCCTCCTGTCTTGGTAGGGATAGAGCAACATGCAAGATGGGCACTGTTGTGTTCGTTGCCGGCACCCGAACCGCCGTCAAGAGTAGCATGGGCCATGGGCGATGTTGGCGACACAAGGCCTGGCCATCAAGGCTCCTGCTTGTGGGGGAGCGCTGATCTGTGCCAAGCGCTCTGACATGACTAGCACGATCGTCAAACTTTTCAACATCTTGATTGTTGAAGACAGATTGATCCCGTGAAAGATCTGGCAAATGTCCAGAGTTCGATATCCCAGGTGCAAACGTTGCTCGAGACATGTGCGCATGCATGAGAAGACCCGAACGCATGAAGCAAACACACATGCAGGGTCCGTCGTCCAGAATATCACGAGTTTGCGGGATGATGCAAGTTGAAGTATCAGCCTTGCACGTATCGACTGCCCTGCCATGGAAGCCAGCAGCATAGCTTGGGATTTCCCCAGCTTCCTTTGGCAGAATCTGGATGCCATAGGCTTTCTTTCAGCACCTTGGAGCTATCTGGCCTGGCGTCTGAGAGATTTATTTCGCAGAATTGTTCAAAATCAACAACTTGATGAGGTTCTCTCGATCCTTGTCTTCACTGGGCTTCCCAGCTGCAGTGACTCCGTGGTTTGGAGAAGTGTGGCTGGCGAGCTGCATGCTCTAAGGCTACTTGAGTGTTTCCAGCAGCGCTCTCAAGCGAAAGAGAATTCTCAGCTGGACGAATCGCAGCTCCCGCTGATATCCCTGAGCTCTTTGACACTTGGCTTTCTTCTGTAGGCGGAGATCAGGAGTCAACTGTGCAAGCATAAACATACTTGAGTTTCCAACTGACGAGGAGTCTCCATGATGGCAAGCAGTCTCCGATGACCTACTGCTGCGTTAGAGGTCGTTTCCTGGCTCGTTGGTAGCACTTGTTAATCTTTCCTAGTTGAATGCGGCTTTCCTGTGAGACTTCGTAGCAGTCTCCACGGCCGACCCACTCAGGTGTGTATGATGTCTCCAGCTCTCCGAACTTCCAGCCGGGTGCTTCATACAGCTTCCTGGCCGGGGCAGATGCCACAGTCGCACTTGCAAAGATGCGGCCCAGTCGCAAAGTGAAGAATGACAAAGCACTGCTCTGTCACATTGCCCACACCAGTGCTTAGTCATTCGAGGTTGGTAAAAACGCATCACTATGGCATACCAACGTACTAGAAGGGCAGGCGTTGGTTCTTGGGCAGCCAGCTACCTCCGCATCTCAGGTCATACGACAAGTCGCTGATCAATAGCATGGACTTCCAGGAGTTGCGCCCCGAAGAGTGGAAGGCCGGACCAGGAAATGCAGCGAAGACTCCCGAAGCCTACCTCCCTATCCGCGGAAGAGCCCCAAAGCCTGAAACCGTCAGATATCTGAGATCCTCCAAAACAGGCTCTCGAGGGCTGGATCGGCTACATGGATGGCAAGTACTCCTGCGTCGCTCGACTCCAGGACTCCCTGTCATCTTCCCTTCTCCCTGGGTTTGGGCCTTAGGGACTTGCCTTGAGTTTCGGGTTGAAGGGTCCCTGTGCCCATGTAGTACATACTTGAAACCTCAAGTACGGAAATAGGGACCTTGGGTTTAGAGGGGGGATCTAGAGTCTTGGCGCTGCACGGCAGGAATATGTTGAGTATGCCGGCATATCGTGAAAAGGGTCGACAGAGACCATGGCGCTTGTCTGTGGGATGGTGCAGCTAGCGACAGCACGGGCTGCCCCTTCACAAAAGAGAGGCACCTGGCTTCCGTTCTTAGGTACATCAACCTGCTTTTGTTAGACCATTGACTGCAGACATTGTGCACGGAACGTGCTAGACTCGACATTGTTCCACCAAGTCGTGGTCAGTCATGGAATTATGCGTTTTCGGAGCAGTCTGAGCCAGCAGTGCTACGACAAAGCTCAGCAACTGCCCATCCGCCGCGGGAAAGCTACGAAGTAGCACTGCCTGTGGTGGAAGGACATCTACGCAGACTCCTATCCTCGGAAAAGTATCCTTCGACAGGGGTTGGTGCACATGGGTTGCCAGGCGAGCTGTTCGTGTTCTCTCTCTCTCTCTCTCTCTGTTTGTTTGTTTCGGCCTCTCTATCGGTCTCCCACTGTTTTATTTCGGATTCTCGGATACCGAAGGCTTTGGGCCGAGGCCAAGGCTACTCCCCGCTTTCGGTTCTCCAATGGATACCGCCAAAAAGCGAAAACTGCGCTTTTTCGTGGCTTGCTCTTTGGGCTTCTTGAGCCTATGCCTACGTACAAGGAGTCCCCTTGTCTTCTCGCAGACCCTCCCAGCCAGAGTCGTCAGCCACACGAAGATGCAAGTCCATTCACCTTGGAGCAAAGAATTTGAGGCCAATTGGCAGGTGCCTCCCGAGGCATTGTCCGGAAGCCTCCTTCGACATGATGGAAACTACGTAGCAGCGCTTGAATGGGCCTCTCAAGCAGACTGCGATGCCTGGTTGGGACAGCCTGGCATGGAGCAAACCCGACAAAGCACCGTCCAATACGTAGTCTGCGGTGCCGTGCCTTCTGCTTCATCGGAGCTTAACGACAAAACCTCGGCAGGGAGCGCTCCTCAGAAGGCATTCGCTCGTGATCTCATGGACAATGCCTTGGGAGGGGGCATCCGCAGCAGGGCTGACTTCGAAGCACTGCAAGCTCCTGAGGTTGATCCATCTGTTCTTTTCGCGATATCAGCAGGTGATGATGTAGACATCGAGGAGTCCGATGAAGTTTTGATCTCCGGAGGGGATCCGAGCTTTCTGAACGACGACAAGTGGTCGAGCAGCTCGCAAGTTGCAGAAAAGCAGCAAAAGACTCAGCTGGATTTGGCACACACTACCGAAGCCGAAGACGAGGACGATGAAGAAGATGTGCTCTTTCACGGAGGAGATCCAACATTCTTGGATGACACGCTTTGGGGCGACCAAGCTGACAAGAAAGTTGAGGAATGGGATGGAAGAGAAGATGACACAGCACACTTGTTTGATTGACACGTGATGTGAAATGATGTGCTTGCTTGGAGGCTGTTTTGCCCAGCACGCCTCGCTATCAAACAAGTGGGGCCTGCCACTTTGCAGACCTAGGCTGGCAAGCAAGGCAATGTCTTGCTACATGTCTATCCGCGGCATTCCTCGACTTGGAGTTCAGTGTTCCAGAAAACTCCGCGCTACAAGCACCCTTCAAGCTTCGAAAATCGAGGCTTGAACAAAGCCTAGCTGCTTAGTTCATGCAAAGCGGTGCTTTCCCGAAAGGGACGTTGGGATCCGATTTGACAAGTCGGTTCACGAGAAAGAAGCTGGTCAGTGTCGTCTGCCGAAACTCTAGTTGGAAGGAGATAAGCAGGGTTGCCAGCAAAACAGTAGGACCGGCGGGGAATTTGCCGACATACTACAACCCGTTCTACCCAACACAGTTGCGCAAGCCTAGCTTTCTGTTTGCCCACCCGTCCTCACTGTCTATTCTGGCACTGAGTCCCAGCACCCTCGGAAGGTGCTGTTGCTTATGGCCGGCTGCGCTGTGTCGCCAATGAGCCGTATGGAGGCGACGCTCCGTGGTTTCAGGTTCCAGCACACAAGAGTTTTCGATACTTACACATGCATACATACGTACATACATACATACATACATATATGTAAAGGTATGTATTTATATATCTATATGTATATATGTGTATGTCTGTCTGTCTGTCTGTCTGTCTGTCTGTATGTATGTATGTATGTATGTATGTACACAATATGGGGTGTATGTATGTATGTATGTATATATATATATGTGCGTACGTACGTACATACACACATACACACATACATGTACTTGTATGTATTTATCTATTTATGTACGTAGAACCTTTATGCTCTATTTGACGGATGCTGTGTCTTCTAACCGATACTATTGAAAATTTTAAATATTTAAATTTTTTAAAATTTTTAAAATTTTCGATAAAGGAAATTTTGAAAATTTTAAACATGTAAATTTTTTAAAATTTTTAAAAATTTTCAATAAAGGAAATTTTGCAAATTTTAAATATTTAAAATTTTTAAATTTTTTAAAATTTTTTAATTTTTCAATAAAGGAAATTTTGAAAATTTTAAATAGTTAAATCCAGGTTCTGGAGACTGGGATCGGGATTTGGACAACGATTTAAATTTTAAAAAATTTGAAAATTTTAAAAAAATTGAAAATTTTAAATATTTAAAATTTTTAAATTTTGTAAAATTTTCAATATTTTTTCAATAAAGGAAATTTTGAAAACTTTAAATATTTAAGATTTTTAAATTTTTTAAAATTTTTAAAATTTTCAGTAAAGGAAATTTTGAAAATTTTAAATATTTAAAACTTTTAAATATTTAAAAATTTTCAAGATTTTCAATAAAGGAAAATTTGAAAATTTTCAATATTTAAAATTTTTAAGTTTTTTAAAAATTTGTAAAATTTTCAATAAAGGAAATTTTGAAAATTTTAAATAGTTAAATCCAGGTTCTGGAGACTGGGATCGGGATTTGGGCAACGATTTAAATTTTAAAAAATTTGAGAATTTTAAAAAAATTGAAAATTTTAAATATTTAAAATTTTTAAAATTTTTAAAATTTTCAAAATTTTCAATAAAAGAAAATTTGAAAATTTTA